CCTCCCTCCGTCCTCGCTTCATCCCTCCATCGCCTGGCCCCCGCGCCGCCCTCCGCGCGCCCCGGCCCTGCAGCCCGAAGCTGCCCGAGCGCAGCGGCAGCCGCGGCACCCGCCGCGCGGGGGCGGCCGGCGCCTCCGCGGGCGGGGGGCCCTCCGCGGGCGCGGCGGCCTCCGCGGGGGCCCCGCGGGCGGCCGGCGCCTCGGTCGGGCCGGCGACGGAAGACGACGCAGACGACGGCGACGGCGACGACGACGGCGACGACGACGACGAAGACGGCGACGGCGACGACGACGACGGAAGACGGCAGCGACGAAGGAAAACGACGACAGCGAAGTAACGACGACGACGGAGGAAGACGACGACAACAGAAGACGGCGACGACGACGGAAGACGGAAGACGGCGACGAAGACGACGACGACGGACGACGAGGCGCGCAGACGATCCGCACCGAAGCACGGCTTCGGGAAAGGGCCCACCCTGCAGGTTCGGTTAACGACGACGACGGAGGAAGACGACGACGAAGACGACGACGAAGACGACGAAGGGAGACGACCACAACGACGACGACGACGACGACGACGACGACGACGACGACGACGACGACGACGGAAGACGACGACGGGGACGACGACGAAGTGCGGAATCAGAGTTGCTCCGTCAGATGCTCACAGGAAAGGGTCCTGAGCACGGGCCCAGGGTTCGCAGGTGGGGGCGCACCTCCCCCTTGCCACACTCAAAGCCTTTAAACCACGCTGCTCCAGACTTGAGCCAAAATGGCTACGGTGAAGGAGGAGGAACAGCAGGAAGAAGATGAGGAGAAGGAAGAGGAGGAGGAGGAAGAGGAGGAGCAGAAGAAGGGGGAGGAGGAGGATGACCGATGGCTGATGATCCGGAGCCCGCGGAGGAGGAGGAGGAAGAGGATGAGAGAGCAGAGAGGTGGGAGGATGAGGAGGAGGAAGAGGAGGAGGAGGAGGAGAAAGAGGAGAATGAGGAGAAGAAGGAGGAGAAGGATGAGGATGAGGAAGAGTAGGAGGAGGAGCAGGAGAAAGGGGAGGAGGAGGACCGATGGCTGAAGATCCAGAACCCGCGGAGGAGGATGAGTAGGTGGAGGAGGACGAGAAGGAGGAGGAGGAGGAGGAGGAAGAGGAGGAGGAGGAGGAGGAGGGGGAGGAGAAGGAAGAGGAGGAGGAAGAGGAGAGAGGAGAGGTGGGAAATTGAAGGGGAGGAGGAGCAGGGGGATGAGCAAGAGGAGGAGGAGGAGAAGGAGGAGGAAGAAGAGGAGGAGAGAGGATGAGAGAGGAGGAGAGAGGAGAGAGCAGGAGGAGGACCAGTGCAAACCCAAGAGTCACCGACGATGTTGGAATCAACCCTCCCCCCAAGCTCCCCCTCCAGAGGCCCCTACAAAGGTTCATTTCCACAGAAGGAACTGCCTCGTTAGAAGACAACCGTTTGAAGACCCTGAAGCATGCCAGAACATTGCTCTCTTGATTCCAACGCCACGGATCAACCTGATTGATCCGTCTTGACGACCCTGAACTGTGCCAGAACGCCATTCCTGGGACTTCAACACCGCGAATCATCGTAACGGTTGCACCATCATTATCGTGAATCCTTCCACAACGCTGTTTCTGGTACGTCGTTCATGGGAGCCCGTGCAAATCTTCTGATTTGTTACAACGAATGCGCGCGGCGCTAAAGCGATAACCACATTTTGAAAACGACCCGCCCTCCATCCGCGAAGCTCTTGCACATGTTTGAAACGAAAGCGAGAGCCACATTTTGAAAACGACCCGCCCTCAACACGTGAAACTCGTGCATCTGTTTAAACGAACGTGCGCGGCGCTAACGCGAGAGCCAAATTTTGAAAACGGCGCGCCCTAAATGCGTGAAGCTCTTGCAATATTTTAAAACGAATGCGGTCGGCGCTAAGCGCTAAAGCGAGAACCACATTTTGAAAACGACCCGCCCTCAACCCGTGAAACCCTTGCAACCTGTTGCAACGAATGCGGGCAGCGCTAAGGCGAGAGCCACATTTAGAAGACAGCCCGCTGTTGCCAAGCTGTTCAAGCTTCAAAGCCATAAACGGTGAGGAAGTCCCAGGCGAAGCGTCCAGCCCGCCCTAAACACTGGCCTCGGGGTGCGGCAGGGAAACGTGATTGATAAGGGAAAGGAATGGAAGCAGAGGAGGAGGAGGAAGAGGAGGTGCCCAGCGCATGAAAAGAGGAAGAGGAAGAGGATGAGGAGAGAGAGGAGAGGAGAGGAGAGAAGGGGAGAGGAGGGGAGAGGGGAGGAGGGGGAAGAGGAGGGAGAGGAGGAGGAGGAGGAGGAGGAGGAGGAGGAGGAAGAGGACCAGGGTAAACCCAAGAGTCGCCAACGATGTTGGAAGAAACCCTCCCCGCAAGCTCCTTCTTCATAGGCCCCTAAAGCGGTTCATTTCCACAGAAGGAACTGCCTCGTTAGAAGACAACCGTTTGAAGACCCTGAAGCATGCCAAAGCATTGCTCTCGGGATTCCAACGCCACGGATCAACCTGATTGATCCGTCTTGACGACCCTGAATCGTGCCAAAACGCCATTCCTGGGACTTCAACACCGCGAGTTATCGTGACGGTTGCACCATCATTATCGTGAATCCTTCCACAACGCTACTGTACTTCTGGTACGTCGATCATGGGAGCCCGTAGAACTCTTTTGATTTGTTATAACGAATGCGCGCGGCGCTAAGGCGAGAACCACAGTTTGAAAAAGAACTGCTCTCAATCCGTGAAGCTCTTGCAAAGGTTCTGAAATAATGTGCGTGGCGCTAAGGCGAGAGCCACATTTTGAAAACGACTCGCCCTCCATCCGTGAAGCTCTTGCAATTGTTTAGCGCGAGTGTGCGCAGCATCAAAGTGAAAACCGCATGTTGAAAACCAACCGCCCTCGATCAATGAAGCTCTTGCTAATGCTTAGAACTAATGTGCGCGGCGCTAAAGCGAGAGGCACATTTCGAAAACGACCCGCTCTCAATCCGTGAGACTCTTGCATGCTTCACAACGAATGTGCGCAGCGCTGAAGCGAGAGCCACATTTTGAAAACGACCCGCCCTCCGTCTGTGCAACTGTCGTCAACGTTTAAGCTTCAGGGTCATAAATAGTGATGAGGTCTCAGGCGAAACGCCCGGCCCGCCCTAAAAACTCGCCTCGGGTTGCGACAAGGAGAAGTTGTTGATAAAGATGAGAAATGAAGGATGAGGAGGAAGAAGAAGAAGAAGAAAAATAAGAGGAGGAGGAGGAGTAATAAGAGGAAGAGGATCAGGAGAAGGAGGAGGAGCAGGAGGAGGAGGACGGCGAGGGGGGGGGAGGGCGAGGGGGATGAGGATGAGGAGGAGGAAGAAAAAGGAGGGAGGAGGGGAGGAGGAGGGCGAGGAGGGCGATGAGGAGGAGGAGGAGGAGGAGGGAGGAGGAGGAGGAGGGAGGAGGCGGCGGGAAAGGAGGAGGAGGGGAGGAAGGGCGAGCAGGAGGAGGAGGAGGAGGAGGAGGAGGAGGAGGAAGGAGGAGGAGGAGGAGGAGGAGGAGGAGGGAAAGGAGGAGGAGGGGAGGAAGGCGAGCAGGAGGAGGAGGAGGAGGAGGAGGAGGAGGAGGAGGGAAGTGAGGAGGAGGGGAGGAAGGCGGCAGTAGGAGGAGGAGGAGGGGAGGAGGGGAGGAGGAGGAGGAGGAGGAGGAGGAGGCAAAGGAGGAGGAGGAGGAGGAGGTCAGGGAACCCGCGGGGGCCTCGGGCGCACACGCCTCGAAGAAGGGGTGCTGCAGGATCCTGCAGGCGGTGGGGCGCCTGCCGGGGTCCCACTGCAGCAGCTGGCCCGCCGCGCACAAGCCGCTGGCGCTCCCCTGCGGGAGCAGCGCCTCCAGCGCCGTCGGCGCCACCTGGAGCGATGGAGCGACCCCCTCCGCCAAGTTTTGCCCTCGAGCCTCGAGGGAGGGGCTCTCTACTCCTCTCTCCTCTCCTCTCTCCTCTCTCCTCTCTCCTCTCTCCTCTCTCCTCTCTCCTACCTCCTCTCTCCTCTCTCATTTGTCCCCCTCCTCCTCCTCCGCTCCTGTTCCTTATGAACAACTCCTTCCTTTCGGCCCCCGAGGCCGGTCGAAACGGTGGGCTTGGCGTTTCGCCCGAGACTTCCCCACAGCTTGTGATCCCGAAGCCTGAGATTTGCAGCAGCTTCACGGAAGGAGGGCGGCCCGCTTTCAAACTGTGGCCCTGGCTTCAGCGCCGCGCACACCCGTCTCTAATTATACTTGCAAGAGCTTCACGGACGGATGGCGGCTCGTTTTCAACATCTGGCTCTCGCTCCAGCGCCGCGCACATTCGTGTGAACAAGTTGAAGAAGCTTCCCGGATGGAAGGCGGTTCGTTTTTCATACGGCATGTTTCGACCTACCCTTATCACTGTTTTTCTTGCCATATCCAAATATTTTGCAATCTTTTCCTGGGAGTCGACGATTCGATTCGTGCCTTTGTGTTCTTTCCCCCCCTAACAGTTCAAGCCGCGAGAGCCCAGCCAAAGGGCAATTACGGCGGACCTGGAAGCAGGGCTCAGTGCCCGGGGGCCCTCGCTGGGCCCCCGGGCCCCCAGGAAAAACGACCTGGGACGGAAGAGAACCGGCCCCGGGGAGTCCTCCAGAGCTCCGGGGGGCTCCGCGTGGAAAGAATCAAGACATCGAAGGTCTGGAAGCGGGTCCACCGCACGATGCCATGGCGACCTGGGCCCCCAGACCAGGAGGCAAACCCACTTCTGGACGAGAAGGACCGGCCCCTGGGGAGTCACCCAGATCGACGGCTCAAAGACGGGGTCCTCAGGGATGGGGTTCCTAAGGACGAGGTGCCTCAAGCAACGTAAATGCGCCCTTGGATCCCTTCCTATCCTGAGGCCCCCATCCCTCAGCACCCCATCTCTGAACCACCGACCAGAGCTCTGGGGGCCCCGCACTGAAAGAATCAGAGCATCGAAGGTCTGAGAACGTGTCCATCGCACGATACCGTTGGGGAAACCAAAAGGTACCGATACCGCTACTCCCCGGACCTCTCCCGGGGAGCGTCGCCCGCCTGCGGGAAGCGGAGGCCCAGCTGCCCCGCGAGCCTGTGCCCCTCGGGCCACTGCGCCTGCGTGGGGGTCCCCAGCACCGAGCAGATCCTGAACAGCTGGTCGGGCTCGGAGGTGCCCGGCATCAGCGGGCGCATGGCGTAGAGCTCGGCCATGATGGCGCCCACGGCCCACATGTCCACGGGCGAGTTGTAGCACCGGCTCCGCAGCAGGATCTCGGGGGCTCGGTACCAGCGCGTGGCGACGTACTCCGTGAACGGGGGCCGGGCGCGGATCTCCCGTGCGAGCCCGAAGTCGGCCAGCTTGACCACCTCCCCGCTGACGAGCAGGTTGTCGGGCTTCAGGTCTCTGTGGAAGTAGCCGTGCTTGTGGACAAACTGTACGGCCTGGAGCGTCTGGAACGTGTAGCTGCACACCTTGCTCTCGGGCAGGGACTTCCCCTTGCTCTGCTGGGCCTTCATGTGCTCGAAGAGGTTCCCCTCGCAGAACTCGAAAACGAGATGCAGCTCATCGCTCTCTCTGATGACCTCTTTCAGCTTAACAATGTTGGGGTGCACGAGCTTTCGCAGAGAGTTGATCTCTCGAAGCTTCATGCACTCCTCCCAGCTGTGGTACTTCTGCTTCATCTTCTTGATGGCCACCAGCTCTCCGCTGTTCCTGTTCCGCGCCCGCAGCACCGATCCGAACGAGCCATCGCCCAACACCTTGTCGGGAGCGGCCAAGAGGGGGGTGTCCAAGAGGGGGGGGGGTGCAAATCATGACCGGCGGCATGTGCGCGGCACAGCGGGAGGGCCAGGAACGTCATGAAATCAGAAGAGGCGCCATATGAAATCGGGGGAAACATCATGGCCCGCGCCATGATACCCACCCACCCCCTAGCCATCACCCCCCTCTTTTCCGCCCCCGACCTTGGTCACCTCGTACTGGTTCATGGCCGGTCAGTAGCCACGACCAGCCTCGGCCCGCCGCCATGCGCCCGGCCCCGAGGCGGGCATCGCGCAGGCCGCCCGCCCGGCCGCCCGGCGCACCCCCGGCCTCGAGCAGCCGCGCCTGCTGCTGCTGCCGCCGCTGCAGCGCCTGCTGCTGCTGCCGCCGCCGCTGCTGCCCCTGCTGCTGCTGCCGCCTGCTGCTGCCGCCGCTGCCACTGCCTGCTCCTCCCGGCCCCCCTCCCCGCCCTGCCCTGCCGCTGCCGCCGCCGCTGCCGCGCCCGAGGCGTGTCCCGAGGGGAGTTTTTCACGGCGCGCTCGGCCTCCGCACCGGCTCCGTGCGAGGCAGGAGCCGCGAGGGGGGGCGCCTGCCTGGCAGTGACCGGCCGACGAGTGCCAAGGGAAGCAGGGAAACAGAAAAGCTGGAGGTTGAAAGAACTTGGGAGTGGCAAGGGATGGAAGCACTGACAGGGGCTGAAACGAGCTCGAACCAGCTGGGATGAGGTCGCCAGGGCTGGAAAAACGTAGAGGGAAGCTGGCCAGGGCTGGAAAGAAGGGAAGAGCTGACCCTGGCAAGTGTTTTCCAGCTCAGGCGTTGGCGGGACTGGGTTTAGACCTGGTTTACACAATGATGTGCGCGAAAGGACGCCACACCGCCCCACTCCACTAACTGGAACCGCCGTCACCCGAAGAAACGCCAGCTATGGCAGACTTGGTTCAGTGATTCTGGCAGGTTGTTTGAGCGTTGGGGCTCCCCTTACCCTCAGTTCTGGTCATATGAAAGAGCGTGTTCTACCGCTGCTGGCGGAAAACCGGTCGGGGTCACTACCGGTTCGAACTCCCCCCCTCCGGAAAACGGGGGGGGGGTCACCACCGGTTCGAACCTCTCCCCCCCCCCCCCCAGTTTATGATGAAAAAGGGGGGGGGTCACTACTGGTTCGAACCCCCCCCCTCGAAAACTGGGCACCCTCGAAAACCAGGGGGGGGGGCGGACAGTGGTGGGGACGGTGGTGGGGGACAGTGGTGAGGGGACAGCGGGACAGTGGTGGGGACGGTAGTGGTGGGGACATTGGTGAGGACAATGGTGGGAACAGTGGGGACAGTGGCACAGTGGTGGGGACGGTGATGGTGGGGACAGTGGTGTGGGGACAGTGGGAATGTGGTGGAAACAGTGGGACTGCCGGGAGGACAGGTGCCGAGGGTACAGTGGTGGTGGGGACAGTGGTGAAGGCGGTGGCGAGGACGGCGGTGGGACAATGGGACAGAGGTACAGTGGGGACAGTGGTGGGGACAGTGGGGACAGTGGTGGGAACAGTGGGACAGCTCAGTGGGACAGCTTAGTGGGACAGCTCAGGAGTCAGTGGGACAGCGGGGATAGTCGGGCAGTGGTTGGGGCCGTGGAGAAAGTGTGGAGAGTGGAACCGTGGTGGGAACAGTGGTGGGGACAATGGGGACAGTGCGACAGTGGTGGGGGCACTGGTGGGGACAGTAGGGACGGTGGTGGAACCAGTGGGGACAGTGGTGGTGAGGACAGTGGTGCTGGGAACAGCAGTGGGGGATGTGGTGCGGACGGTAATAGGGACCGGGAGTCGTTTGCTGGCGGTGAGGGGGGAGGGAGGGGTTCGAACCAGTAGTGAACCCCCTTCGGTTTCCGAGGGGGGGGGGGGTTAGGGGAAGGGGGGGGGGTGCGGGGGGAGGGGAGGGGGGGGGTGGGTCCAGCAGGGGGGGGGGATTTTTCGGCGGGGGGGGGTGGGGGAAACGGGGGGGTGGGGAACCCCCGGGTTCCGGAGGAAGAGGAGGGGGGGGAAACTTTCCACAGTAAAGCGGCGGTGGATCACGCTCTCTCTCGGTCATATTCGACCAGCTCCCCTGTGCAGCCCGTCGGGCCTCGTTTGGCGCACTGGGCCCACTGCACTGGGGGTGCCCAGGTCGGCCACAAGACCAGCTCTGGCCAGCTTCACAACAGACCACGGTCGGGGAGACGTAAGACCCGGGTACGGGGGACTCGGGTTGGCCCGACGAGGTCGTCAAAAAAATGACGAGGCCGAGCCTGCATTTTGACGAGGCCTCCCGCTGCAGACATCCCACGAAACTCCTCCTCGTCAAAATCCGAGTCGCGGTCGTCAAAAAACGATGGCGAGCCCGAGTCCTGGCAAACCCGGGTCTTACGCTCCCCCGACACGGCGTTCCAGAGCGGCCAACGGCGCAAGACTGCCCCAAGACTGCCCCCCGAAGGCGTACGCAGATGGCCCCGAGGCTTGTGCGGGTGGGCCCCAGGAGAGCACCAAGGGGCCACCGCGGGAGCAGCGCCCCTGCAGGTTGCACGCCTTTTCAGTCCTCTCGGGACCCTTTTGAAGCTCTCTTGGGCCCCTCGTGGGGGACTTGGGGGCATTCTGGCACTCTTGGGGCCACGGCGGAGGCTAAGATAGCCCAGGCAAGCCGCCAAGAGTCTCTCATGTCGACAGATCCGCAAAGGCAGATCCCGAGATTCGGTTCGGCGGCCTGGCTCCCCCCCACACCCCCTTTTCCTTTTTTTGCTGGCCGACACCTGGCCTCTTGGGACCCTCTTGTGGCGCTGGTGGATCCCAGAACAGCGCCAGTGGAGAGCAGACAAGACACCCTCATAATAAGCACCCTGGCAAGCGACGCCATGTAGTAAACAAGCCCCAGGGAAGGAATCGAACAGGACATGCCTGATTGGTCAACGCCCAGGGCCGTTTATCGGCGGCCAGCCCGGGGGACGGGCCTTCTCAGAAGGCTCGGGGGTCCCCTGGCCTTCTGAAAAGTTGCCCAAGCCTTCCCCGAAGACACAAACAATTTCTCAGAAGGCAGGAGGGCTTCTGACAAGCCCCACCACCTTCTGAGAGGGCCCTCTCGTTCTCACTCCCCGTCCCCTCGCTCGCCGCCGTCCAGAGTCATCGCCATCGTGATGCGGCGCACGCGGCGACAAACACGACCTCGGCGGCCTCTCGTCGCTGGCCGTCACTGCCGTCCTCCTCGTCGTCGGTCACTGGTCACTGGTCGCTGGGCGTCGCTCTTGGGTCGCCGTCGATGTTGTTGCCGTCGTTGTCGTTGTCGTTGTCGTTGCCCGCCGCCGAGTTGAGTAAACGCCGATCATGGCGGCCGGGGTGCTTTTTCCTCCCGTGCGTCACAGCGAGCAGCTCTTTCTCTCTCTCTCTCTCTCTCTCTCTCTCTCTGGCGGGCACTAGCGGGTTCACCCCAGGAGGAGTGCGCCGCGGGGCCCCGGCGGCACCCCTCCCGTGGGCGGGCCCCACGAGAACAGCAACGAGGACTGAGAGGGGAAGGGGAGCTCGCGCGCACGCGCCGGCGGCAAGCTCCTCCTCCTCCTCCTCCGCCTCCGCCTCCTCCGCCTCCTCCTCGTCCTCCTTCTTCTCTTCTTGCCTACAATCAACCCGCCAACCCGTCTAAGGAGGACGCACGACAAGGACGCAAGGGCCTTGGAAGGCCCTGCCGACACTTTGCGACCGGGGCGTGGCCAACGAAAACAACCCAAAGCGGGCCGATGGGGAAGGATGCAAGGGTAATCTTGGAAATTGTTCATCCTTGCTGTGCGGTCAGAAACTGTTGCTTAGCGTGTCGCGGCGGCCCCAGCAACACGCTACAGTAGGGGGCCGACCACAAGAAACCTTCCACAAGGAACCCAATCCTGAGACCCCAGGACCTCCACTGGCTTTTTGCTGTGGGAGCGTTACGCTTTCCATAGCAGCACCATCGAAACCCAAGAAACCCTGGAGGCAAGTGGGGTGCTTCTTGACATGGGTCTCCACTGTATGTTTAGGTCGGGCATGTCCCCCTACAGGCGGATTTTGGGCAAAAAATTAGAAATACTCTGAAAATGCTCAAGAATAGCCACATCGAATCGAAACATCGTCCCCAGACTATGCTTTGACTATTTGGGAAGATTCCTCCTGTAGACAGACACGCCCGACTTAACTGTACGTTCTGCGAGCGGATCGCGTGCCGCTCTGCTCCTCGCGGCGGCGGGGCTGGGCGAGGCGCGCGGGCCGTCGACGCTCGGGGACCAGGCCGCGGAGGCGCGTCGCGCCGAAGCGCGGCGGGCCAGCACTGGCGGAGCGATAGGCGAGGGGCACGGCCTCGCTTCGCCGGAGTCTCGCTTCGCCGGAGTCTCGCTTCGCCGGGGCTCGCTCCGCCGGGGGCTCGCTTCGCCGGGGCTCGCTTCGCCGGGACTCGCTTCGCCGGGGCTCGCTTCGCCGGGGCTCGCTTTGCCGGGGCTCGCTTCGCCCGTCTTCGCCCGAGGCGTGGTGGGCCAGAGCTGGCGGAGCGATGCGCTGGGCCAAAGTTCCGGGCTGTGGCTCTTTACAGAGCCATGGCCTCTCCTCCTCTGGCTGCTGCTGCTCCTCCTCCTCTGGGAAGGCCAGGAGATGCCACTCCCCAGACTTCTCCCGGAGTGCTATCTGACCTGAAGTTCTAGGCGAATCCAGCGGTGGCGACGAGGGCCTCCTATGAGGCTCAAAAAGGCGCAAGCGGGGCAAGCAGAGCGGTCGGTACCTCTTGTTCCTCCTGTTCCTCCCCCTCCTCCTGTTCCTGTTCCTGATCCTCCTCCACCTCCTGTTCCTCCTCGTCCTACTGTTTCTCCTCCATTCCTATTCCTCATAAATAACCTCTCCCTGTCGCACCCCGAAGCCAATTTTTAGGTCGGGCCGGGCGTTTCGCGTGAGACGTCCTCGCCATTAATGACCCTGAAGCTTAAACACTGGCAACAGTTTCACAGATGAAGGGCGTGCCGTTTTCAAAATGTGGCTCTCGCCTTAGCGCCGCACGCGTTCGTTTTCAAAATTTGCAAGAGCTTCACGGATTGAGGGCGGGTGGTTTTCCAAATGTGGCTCTCGCCTTAGCGCCGCGCACATTCGTTTGAAAAAAAATACAAGAGCTTCACGGATTGAGGGCGGGTGGCTTTCAAAATGTGGCTCTCGCCTTAGCACCGCGCACATTCGTTCTCAAAAGTTGCAAGAGCTTCACGGATTGAGGGCGGGTGGTTTTTCAAATGTGGCTCTCGCCCTAGCACCGCGCACATTCGCTTTAAAATCTGGCAGAAGTTTTACGGATTGAGGGTTTATCGCCGCGCACATTCGCTTGAACAAACATTGCAAGAGCTTCACATATTGAGTGCGGTTTGTTTTCAAACTGTGGCTCTCGCCTTAGCGCCGCGCACATTCGTTTGACAAAAAAATGTAAGAGTTTTAAGTATTCCAGCGATCGACATACCAGAAATGGGGATCTGGAGGGATTCGCGACGATGAGGGCGCAACGATTAAGATGAGTCGCGGTCTTGAAGTCTCAGGAATGGCGCTCCGGCACGATTCAGGATCGTCAAGACGCAACACTCAGACTTATCCGTGGCGCTGGAATCCCGAGAACACTGTTTTGGCATGCTTAAGGGTCTCGAAACGATTGTCTTCCAACGACGCAGGTCCCTCTGTGGAAATGAACCGTTGTAGGGGCCTATGAAGAGGGAGCTTGGGGGGAGGGTTTTTTATTCAAACATCGTTGGTGACTCTTGGGTTTACACTGGTCCTGCTCCTCCTCCTCCTCATCCGCCTCCTCCTCCTCCTCCTCCTCCTCCTTCTCCTCCGGCTGCTGCTCCTTCTCCTCCTCCTCCTACTGCTCCGGCTCCTGCTCCTGCTCCTCCCCCGAATCCTCTACCCTCCTCCTCCTCCTCCTTCTACTCCTCCTTCCTCCTCACTCCTCCTCCTCCTCCTCATCCTCCTCCTCCTCCTCCTCCTCCATCTCCTCCTTCTGACGGTATAGGCGAAAGTAATGATCCAAACATGTTGCGATTCTCAGGCGTTCAAAACAAAACGGCAGGGCAAAGAGGCAGGCCAGACCTAGCAGCAGTAAGAACAGAGAGGGACAAACCTGTGTCAATGACCAAAAAATAAAGCATCCAGGGTATGATGCATGGCTTGCTCACGCAAGGACTCCTCCTCGCCCTCCTCCTCTTCCTCCTCCTCCTTCTCCTCCTCCTCCTCCTCCTCCTCCTCCTCCTCCTCCTCCTATCTCGTTTCGCTGGAGTCCCGTTTCGCCGGAGTCTCGTTGCGCCGGGGCTCGTTTCGCCGGGGCTCGTTTCGCCGAGGCTGGTTTCGCCATAGCCTTCGTTTCGCCAAGGCTTGTTTCGTCGGGGCTCGCTTCGCCAGGCCCGTGAAGAATTCGGAGGGCCTACGACCATCAGGTCGGGTCGGGCGGGCGGACCCTGACGGGCAGGTCGGGTCGGGCAGGCGGGACATTGAAGCAGGACGCATCATCGAGCTGGCACGCGCGAACCCTAACGGGCGGGTCGGGTCGGACGGGCGGAACCGAACGGGCGGGTCGGGTCGGGCGGGCGGACCTTAAATGGCGGGTCGGGTCGGGTGGGCGGGTCTTTGCAGTAGGACGCATCTTCGAGTTAGCACGCGCGAGCCCTAACGGGCGGGTCGGATCGGGCGGGTGGACCCTAGCGTACGGGCGGGTCGGGTCGGGCGGGCGGACCTCAACGGGCGGGTCGGGTCGGGCGCGCGGGACGTTATAATAGGACGCATCATCGAACTGGCACGCACGAGCCCTAACGGGCGGGTCGGACCGGGCGGGCGGACCCTGACGGGCGGGTCGGGTCGGGCGGGCGGGCCCGTGTCGGTCGGGCGGGACATTAAAGCAGGACGCATCATCAGGTTAGCACGCGCGAGCCCTAACGGGCGGGTCGGGTCGGACGGGCGGAACCGAACGGGCGGGTCGGGTCGGGCGGGCGGAACTTGATGGGCGGGTCGGGTCGGATGGGCGGAGCCGGGCGAATCGAGACTCAGGCGAACTGAGCCTGGGCGAACCGAGCCAGGCCATTCGAACCCCGGGACGATCGAGCCGTGAGAATCGAGCCCCGAGCGACTCGAGACTCGGGCAAATCGATCCCTGGGCGAATCGAGCCAAGCGAATCGAGACTCTAGCGAATCTAGCCGGGCGAATCGAGACTCGGGCGACTCGAGCTGAGACTCGGCGAATCGAGCTGGGGCGAATCGAGACTCGGCGAATCGAGCCGGGCGAATCATGACTCGGGCGACTCGAGACTCGGCGAATCAAGCCCGTCTACGCCTTCTCCTCCTCGTGCTGCTGCTCTGCCTCGCATCCTGCTGCTGCTGCTCCTCCTCCTGCCTGCTCCTCGTTCTCCCTCCTCGTCCCTCTCCTCCTTGTCTCTCTCCTCGTCCTCCGACTCCTCGTCCCCTTCGCGTTGTTAATGTGCATATTTCTCCTCCTCCTCCTCCTTCTCCTCCTCCTCCCTCCTCCTCCTCCTCCTCCTCCTCCTCCTCCTTCTCCTCCTCCTTTCTACTCCTCCTCTCCCTCCTACTCCCGCTGCTGCTACTTCTCCTGCGCTTCCTCGGACTTCTCCTCCTCCCCTTCCCCGTCCTCCCCATCAGATTTCAGCTAGAGCCTCTAAGCTGCGCTTGGTTCGGCGGGCGCTGTGAGCCCCTATGGGCGAACGGGGGCCACTTTTCAGGCCTGTGGGATACCGCCAGACGAGACGATCTGAGGGAGCCATGTGCTTACACTTTTCCAGCTCTGGCGCGAAGGGGGGCACTCGAGTCCGACAAGCGCGAAAACATATGACGAAAATCAGACGTTAATTTGACGGCAAGCGCCGCCACATGATCAGAGGTCGGCGAGCAGAGACTGGCCGCTGCAGCTGCACGCGTGTGAAAACTGACAACATGCAGCGCGCAGCGCTGCCGTGCCCCGCCCTCACCAACGGTCGATGCCCCAGTCCTTCCACAGCTGCATCGCCTGCTTCCCGAACAGGCCCTCCTCGAAGTGCCCGCCGGGGGGCAGCATGCCCAGGTCGTGCCCGACCTTCTTGGCCGTCTTGATGAAGCCCTGGCGCTTCCTGGCCGGGATCGCGAACCGCTCGCAGAAGGCGTTGATGGCCTGGGAGTGCAGCCCGATGCCCTTCCCGCGCGCCTTGGTGACGAACGGGTCCCCGACCACGGCCGACCCCGCGACCACGACGGGCGCGAAGAGGCCCATGCTGGCCTGCTCCGCCAGCGGCACCGGTGGCGCCTTTGGAGCAGAAGAACCCCGCTCAGCTCAGCAAAGGCGTTTAGTAAACGCACCCAAGGGCGGACTCGGACGGGGCAGGGCTGGTTATAGTCAACGCCCAGGGCCGTTTAGTAAGCGCCATAAGGCGTTTAGTAAACGCACCCAAAGGAGGACTCGGACGGGGCAGGGCTGGGTATAGTCCACGCCCAGGGCCGTTTAGGAAGCGCCGTCTATGGGGGTCGGGGTGCTTTCTCCTCCCTTGAGCTTCTGCCGCCTTCGCCTTCGCCTTCGCCTTGGCCTTGGCCTTGGCCTTTGCCTTCGCCTTCGGTTTTGCCGCTGCGGGTGCTGCTGCTGCAGCGGTCACGGACGGAGCCTGCATCTTCGCGACCAGGCCCAGCGCGAGCGAGCACCCAACGCCTGCAGCCAGACAGGCAGCGCCCGCCGTGTGACCCTGCTGGACAGGAGGACTCCCAGAGGAGAGGCCGCCCTGCGAGTTGAACTCCTTTGCGCCGTGCGCCAGCTGCAGCCTTGCCTGGAGGAAAACAACAACGGCACAAACATAAACTTTCGGAACTCTGCGCAGATTTCCTGGGTCGGAACTAGACCTCCCTCCCTGGCGCGCAGAGCGAGCCCAGAGCGGCGCCAGAGGCGCCGCAATGCCGGCTCAAGAAATCCGCGAGGAGCTCTGAAACTTCATGTTTATGCTTTTTTCTTCTTCGTAAGACGAAGCCAGGACGATAAAATCGGGTGAGGATAAATCGAGAACCTGTGAGATCCAGCGACTCTGGAGGACGTCTCGGGCGCCGCGGCCTCCGCTGAGCTTTCCGGGACGCTCTGAGAGGCCCCGGAAAGGATTGACCTTCGTCCTGGCCCCGTCCGACTGCCATCGCCTTCGGCGCCACCGCAAACGGCAAGGCGGACATCGTGCACGTCAGGTAGATCACCGCCGCCCAGCAGAGCACAGCGGCCAGCGCCCGGGCAGCCCGACCGCGCGGAGCCGCCATCCCCGAGGCGAGTGGTCCACGAGACTTGCGGCCGGCTCGCGGCCCTCCGTCGCCGAGTTCGAGCCGGGCCTGCCCTGCAGGGCGGCGGGCGAGGGGCCGGCGGGCGGCGTGGCGCGACGAGCTGGTGCGGGACGGGGTGCGCGGAGGGGACGGGTTAGGAGAGGGGAGGGGGGGAGAGAGGAGGGGGGGAGAGAGGAAGAGGAGGCGGAGGAGGAGGAGGAGGAGGAGGAGGAGGAGGAGGAGGAGGAGGAGGAGGAGGAGAGAGGCGTGGCCGGGATGGTGCAACAGGAGCTCGACCACAAGAAACCTTCCACAGGAAACCCAACCCTGCGACCCCATGGCGTCCACTGGCTCTCGGTGTGGGAGCGTCGCGCTCTCCACGGCAAAGCCATCGACACCCAAGGAGCCCAGGGCACCCTGGAGGTCAGCATGGTGCCTCTTGGCATGGGGTTCCATCGCATTGATTCGGTCAGGGGAGGGGGGAGAGAAGGGAGGGTGGGACGGTTAGCGGTTAAGCCGTGACGGAGTGGAAGGATTGCAAAAAAAACCGAAGGATTGCAAAAAGGATTGCAATCCTTCGTTCAAGAGGGGGGCGCCCATCCTCAGATCCCCCGACCCTATCGGCGTGCGTGAGACGTTTTTCTGCTTGAGTCGTCGCCACCGCCGTCGCCGCTCCCCTTTTCCGTTTGAATCGTCGTCGTCGTGGTCGTAGACGTCGTCGTCGTCGTCGTCGTCGTCGTCGTCGTCGCTACTCTCCCCCTTTCCCTGTGCCCTCCTCCTCAAGCGATCCAGCCGGAGAGTAATCGAACAACATCACCATCGACCTTTTCCATTCAAGTCGTCATCGTCGTCATCATCGTCGCCGTCGTCGTCATCGTCGTCGTCGTCGCCACTCTCCCCCTGTCCCCTGGCCCTCCTCATCAAGCGATCCAGCCAGATGGAAATCGAACAACGTCGTAATCGAGTCGAAGGGAACCCCCTTCCCACGGATCCCTTGTTCGCCAGATGGGGTGGAGGGGTCCCGGGCGGGGGGGGGTCGCCTGGGGTGGGGTAGCGTAGGGGTGGGCCCTAAGGGGGGGTCCCTGGGGTTGTGACCCCCCTCCCACCCGGCTCTCCGACCAATACGGCCCAAGGCCTGAAGATACACCCCAGATCCCCCCAGAAGGCCTAACTGCCCAAAACGCCACAATGCAGCCCCAAGAAATCCCAAGAGCATCTCCAAGAGAGCCCCACGGGGCCAAATCATAGATGTCCCTGAACTGTGTTTCAATATTCTGTTCGAGTTCTCACCTTTCGAGCTTCTCACGCCCCAGGAGGGCCCCAAGAGGCCCCCCAGATCGCTCCCAAACGGCCCAACTCTTTCCCCAGAAAGCCCCACGACGGCCCGAGCAGGCCTCACGACCGCCCAAAGGAGGCCCCAAGGCGGCCTAGGAGGCACCCCAAGGGAACTCACAAGGGGATTCAAGACGGCCCCCACAGGACCTCAGAAGTCTCAAGACCATCCTCCTCCTCCTCCTCCCCCCTTCCTCCTCCTCCTCCTCCTCCTACTCCTCCTCTTTTCCTTTCCCATATAAGCTCCTCTCTGTCGCACCCAGAAGCTGGCCGAACGGGCGGGCCGGGCGTTTCGCCTGAGACTTCCTCACCACTTTATGACGCCGAAGCTGACACATTGGCAACCACCTCACAAACGGAGGGCGGCCCGCCCGTTCGACCAGCTTCGGGGTGCGACAGGGAGGAGCTTAAAAGGGAAAGGAAAAGAGAGAAGGAGAAAGAGGAGAAGGAAGGCGGGCCGGTTCCAGAATGTCGCTCTCGCCCTGGCACCGCGCGCGATCGATTTAGCAGTTTGCAGGAGCTTCAAAGATGGAGGTCGGGCCGTCGACGACGACGACGACGAACACGACCACGACCACGAACATGACGACGACGACGACTGCGGCGACGACGACGGCGACGACGTCGGCGGCGACGTCGGCGACGACAACGACGACCACGACGGCGGCGACGGCGACGACGACGGCGACGACGTCGGCGACGACGTCGACGACGACGACGACCACGACGGCGGCGACGACGACGACGACGACCACGACAACGACGACGGCGGCGACGACGACGACGACGACGACGACCACGCAAACGATGACGACGACCACCACCACGAGCACGAACACGACCACGACAACGGCGGCGACGACGACGAACACGACGACGACGATGACGACGACGACGACGACGACGACGACGACGACGACGGCGGCGGCGGCGGCGACGACGACGACGACCACGAACACGACGACGACGACTAATGCGACGACGACGACCACGAACACGAACACGACCACGACCACGAACACGACGACGATGACGAACACGACGACGACGACGACGGCGGCGGCGACGACGGCGACGACGACGACGACCACGACGGCGGTCGCTCTCTGGCGGCAGACCGCGAGCGGCGCCCCCCCCTCCCCCCCGCAGGGCGTCGCGCAGCTGGTGGCCGCCGATGGCCGCGGAAGGGCCGCCGATGGCCGCCGATTTCCGACGAGGGGCCGCCGATCGTTTTCAACGCCGCACACATTCGCGTAAAAGTTCGCAATAGTTTCAAAATGCTTTCAGACTTGAGGGCAGTTCGGTGCAGGTCGTTTTGAGGGCAGGTCGTTTTTAAAATGAGGTTCTCGTCTCAGCGCCGCGCACATTCGATTTAAAAGTGCACAAGAGTTGCACGGATTGAGGGCGGGTTGTTTTCAACATGTGGCTCTCGTTTCAGCGCCGCGCACATTCGTCCTAAACGCTTACAACAACTTCACGGAATGAGGGCGGGTCGTTTTCAAAATGTGGCTCTCGCCGTAACGCAGCGCACATTCGATTCATAAAAGTGCGCAGGGGTTGCGCGGATTGAGGGCGGGCCGTTTTCAAAATGTGGCTCTGATCCTAACGCCGCGCACGAAGAGTTGAAAGAGGTTTGTGGATTGAGGGCGGCTCATTTTCAAAATGTGGCTCTCGCCGTAGCGCCGCGCACATTACAATGAGGGCCCGACCACAAGAAGCCTTCCACCAGAAACCTAACCCTGAGACCCCCAGGACGCCCATCGATGTTTGGCGTGGGAACGGCACGCTTCCCATGGCAACGCCATCGAAACCCAAGAAACCCAGGGAGCCCTGAAGGCAGACAGGGTGCGTCTTGACATGGCCCCCCCAGCTGGGTACCTCATTATTCGTCGTCTTCGCACCTTAGTTTGAGAGAGAGGGACAGAGGGAAGACTGCATGCCGACTATTCACCAGCATGGTGAGCAGAACGGGATAGAGGGGGATATATATATATAGAGAGAGAGAGAGAGAGAGAGAGAGAGAGAGGGAGAGAGAGAGAGAGAGAGAGATAGGGAGAGAGAGAGAGAGAGGGATATTGTATGCTGGGCGCATTCGCGGTCGTCGTCTTCGCACCCTAGCAAGGGAAAGCGGGAGAGAGAGAGAGAGAGAGAGATAGAGAGCGAGAGAGCGAGCGAGAGAGAGAGAGAGAGGGAAGACACTGCATGGGGCGGTGTTCCGCGCACCCGCGCCCAGGGTCGCGCTCCTCAAACCATGGAGGTCTCTCATGTCAATGTGATTTTTCGACGGGGGATTCGGAGCTGACTGCGAACCGCGTGTTGGGGCAGACCGTGCAGCTCGACCGCCTTCAGGTGATGCAGCATGGCAGCCTTGCCGCCACTTCCACGACACACAAGGGCATATTCAACGCAACAGTTGCACGACTGCTAGATGAAGGCCGCCACCGTTCAGTGGACGCAAAAGGTTTCGCTGTCTGACTGTAGTAAAGCGCAACTCGGCATGAAAGCAATCAACACACCCTCTGCCTAAAGCTCCTCGCGCTCCCACGACAGAGCCGCAGCATCTTGAATCATCTCGTCGGGACCAGGCTCAGGCCGCTCTACCAAGAGAACTCCAAGTTGCCGAACATCATCCGCGTAAGGTTCGCGAGCATGGGCCACTCGCAGGTTGTCGATGGAAGCAACGTCACCAACTCGCCATCAAACCTTGAAGTTGCGCGCCGTCAGTGCTTCCTCCATGGCACGAATTTCACGTCGAGAAATCATCACCCTTGCCCCAGGACGTAAAGAAGAGCCTCTCTGGAGGTGGCAGGTGGCTAAGCGGTCCTTCTGGCAATCGCCCCCCCCCCCCCCCCAGCGCTCCCAAAGCAGGAACAAATAGGTCTTCAGCTCCATGCCTCGCCTCTGGGTCGATGATGTACGAGCTCAGCGCAGAGCTTGCGTCAAGAGTACCGTCTGCGTTGAAAACGCAATTCTGGTTGGATTTTGCACGAGCCTCCATGACTGGCTCTTGGTCCACTAAACCAAAATTCCCCTGCCAATATCGACCGCCACCATCTAGGGTACTTCTGCTTGGTTCTGACGCATTGGGCTTCCAGTCAGCGCGGCGACTTCGGTGCGTCGTTCCCTCCTTCCTGAAACAATGTTTCATCTTAAGAGGCAGGGCCCTTTCAACATCTGTGTTCCGCACAAGCACTGTGTCCCCACCGACTGTGACCTCCCACTGAAAAGCAGGCGAAGTCATTGAATCCTGGAAAGTAATATGAATAGACCATTTCATTGTGGAAAGGTACGAAATACTGCGCAGGTTCGGTGCTTGTCGAACTGACCTTCGGAGATGCATTGTCCAATCTTCCTCGCTTATTGAATCCTGTCCGGTAATCCATCAGGCTGCGGGGTACTACCGCCCCCCAGTCCTCAAATGCTTGCGGAGTCGTAACGTTGGTACCACGTGGAATGACTACACCGTCATCTTTGAGCTTCTGCAGCACAATACTTGCTGGCGCCAATTCATCAACGGGCAGCCATGGCGCGAGGCATTCCGCAGTCTTGACAGATGCTGCATTGGCTCCGATGGCAAGGGTAAACGCGAACGCTGAGGAGAACGCGCGCCATGTTTCTGCTACGCTTTCCAACGCCGCCGACATCTCTGAGCTTGAACTGTCTATACGGAAAAAGCCGCCAGAGGAAGGGCACGCGGAGGAACTCACATAGT